GGGGGGGGGGGGAGTGTGGGTGGCACTAGGCGCCTAAGGTCTAATGGGTCCCTCCTGTGGTGTCTCGCCCCCCTCCCGGCTTCACTCCTGGAACACTGATAAAAGGGGGTGAAATTTTCAGCTGTTCCAGTCATCGTTCCTTCAAACAGAAAAATAAGTCCGTATGACTCATCTTCTGTTACAAACCAAAAGCAACCACTAAGTGGTTCTTTCCTTCCTTTTTTTTTTTTTTTTGATACGAAATTGAGCAAACAAAAGCAAATCCCCAAACTCTTATGTAGCACATATTGGCCGCCTTGATGAATGAGAACGGTCTAAGGATCAGTCCATTTCTTTAGTGTGAGTCTTTGGTTTCGTTGGGAGTGGAGCTTATGAACTAAAATCAGCAACTCACTTGCCCCAATCATGTATTCCATTCCAGTGGGTTTTCAGTTCCCTTATGGGTGCTCTGAAGTGGGAGGTATAAATGAAGCTTCATAAAGTGGGGAATGCCTCTCATTTTCCAGAAGGGAGGCTTACAGCTGTTGTAGATTGAAGTTCTGTGTGTCCACACAGTGCCTTGTGGAGATTCCATCCACCAGGTGGTAATGGCAGTAGGTGAATTTGGCATTCTGAGAGTTCAAGAGGTAGGTTTGGGTATCTTACCTTCCCATGAAAGATGACAGAGACTGTGGCTTTCAGAACACGTCTCAGATAACTGTGTAGAATTTGACTCTCAGTGAGGTCCCATTTTGGTTTAGCATTTGCACACAGTAAAAGATTCACATTTGACAAGAAACTTAATCACAGCACTCCGGGAGGCAGAGGCAGATGGATCTCTGTGAGTTCCAGGACGGCTATTTGAGAAACCCTGTCTCAAAAAAACCAAAACAAACAACAAAGAAAAAAAATAAAGAAAAACTTAAACAAGAACAGTTTAGGAAAGCTAAAAGAACCAGGTGACTCTGGGCTTTTGTCATTCTTGATTTTTTTTTTTTAGAACAATCTGTTGTTAAGTTAGTTCACTGGTATAATCAATACAGAAGGGCCTGTCGTTGGCACCCAGAAAGATGATGTTACTTAGTAAATGCTACATCTAAATATCTCCAAGTTACTTTCATAAGCCAAGTGAATGAGCTCATCTCAAAACATATGTATATTCAAAACAACCAGAACAGCCTTGGTGGATTAATCAATGACACATCAGATCTTCTATTTTAAGAGTCTTTGATGCAGTTCCAAAACGTAACTGATTAATTTTTTTGAGTGATCCTGAATTTATGTTCTGTTGAATGTGTTTTAATACTCACTCTTTTGTCTTAGCTTTTTAGGAAGATATATCTGTTCCTGAAAGAATACAAAATACTCAGTGCAGAAAAACTTTTAATGCATTAGCAGCTTTATTAAAGTATAATTCACATATACAACTTATGCATTTTAAATAAACAGTGGAGTGCTTTTAGCATAGTCAGAGTTTAAAAGCCAGGACAGTACTGTTTTAGAATAGTTTTATCATAACAGAACATTAACTTTGGACTTAACTAGAATTTTTCCTCCTGTTCTACCCCTCCTCCTGCCTCTTGACCACCCAGTCTGTTTTCTATCTAGACAGTCTATAGACTGACCTGTCCTAGACATAATATATGAAGGAAATCTCAGTATGTGATACTGTGTGTTGCTTCTTTTCCTTTGCTTACTGTGTCTGTGGCTCACCCATCTTGTGGCATGTGTTAATACTTATCCCTTGGGATTGCCAACTTGTATATCATATTTTATTTGTCCATTCATCGTTTGGTGGATAGTTGGAGTGTTGTACTCTGTAGTGTGAATATTGCTACCATGGACATACCTGTACGTTTTCGTGGGGACATAATGTCTCTGTTTTCTTTGGCTTATCGCTAGTAGAATTACTGGAACTGTCATAGTTTTTTTAATCTTTTGGGAGAACTACACAGACTTATCCAAAGTGGAGCTATAGTACTAAATTTTAAAGATTTTTTTTTTCTCTTTGTGTTTATGGGTGTTTTGTCTACATGTATGTATGGCCACCACGTGTCTGCCTGGTACCCTCAAAGGTTGGAAGAGCCTGTTGCTGGTTTTGGAGTTACAGAGAGTTATTAACTGTAGTGATATTTGTTTGTGTTTTAATAAATAAAGCTTACCTGAAGTTCAGAGAGTAAAACAGCCACCCTAGCCAGGCTTACAGACCACCTTAAATCCTAGTAACCACACTAGTTAGTCATGGTGCACACCTTTAATCCCAGCACTAGAGAGGAATATAAAACGGGAGGAGACAGCTCTCAGTCAGTCTCATTCTGAGACTCCTGGAGGCAGGATCACCATTTTGGACTGAGGTAGAGATAAGAACCAGAGGCTGGCTATTTTGCTTTTCTGAGGTTGAACCCCAATATCTGTCTCTGGGTTTTTATTAATCATGCTACAATTAACCACCATGCAAGTCTGCTGCAAGAGTAGCAAGTGATCTTGACTGTTGAGCTATCTCTCTAGCCCTGAGTGCTAGGTTTGAAAATGGACTCCTCTGTTTCAAATTAGAATTTGACTTACTTAGTAAAAAGCTGTGTGGTATTTATTACAGTGATTCTTTTGGGGTGTTACCTGGTTCTGTTTTAGTCTTCAGAAGCAATGTGGTGTGTTCATCACTGAACTACTACTTAAAACTAAGTAGTAAGAATCCCAGTCGTATTTCCTAAGGTCTCTGAGGACTAAATAACATTAGTGGTAATTACTGAATATGAAAGGAAAGCTGTAAGGGGCATATAGTGCAGAACTTTATTTTCCAGTTTGTGTGTGTGTAGTTTTTTGTTGACACTGTTGTTTGGATTTGTGTTTTGTTTTTAAGAAAACTTTTATCTTTACAGGGAAAAATGAAGAACGAAATTGCTGCTGTTGTCTTCTTCTTCACAAGGCTGGTTCGAAAACATGATAAGTTGAAAAAAGAAGCCGTTGAGAGATTTGCTGAGAAATTGACTCAAATACTTCAAGAAAAATATAAAAACCACTGGTACCCAGAAAAACCATCAAAAGGACAGGCCTACAGGTAAAGAATCAGATTGGATGATTGAATTGGACCACATGTAGATCAATTTGTGTAATGGCTAGCAGGCCAGAGGACTGAAGGTTTAGAACATGCCTATCATGATTTTATCTGCAAAATATGAAACTCTGGGGTGTCATGGTATTTTCTTGTTCACTTTAAAGTACAAGTATTTGCTGATGGATGCTATTGTTTAGTCTTGAAGCCAGGGCTCTAGATTCATCAGTCAGTTTCTTTTGCCTAGTCTGGCTCCTGCTCAAGTACATTTGTTATTACCGTGGGTATTCAAGGTTTTTCACAAATCTAGAATTCCTAATCTCTCCTAAATGAGAGTGATAATTAAGAGTTGAGGGAAATTAGTTTCTTTGTATCTAAAGATAAAGTGCTTCCTGCCTATTTCAAGAAGGCAGGGTGGTGCACACCTCTAATCCCAGCACTCAGGAGGCAGAGAGGTAGGCAGATCTCTAAGTTCAAGGCCAACCTGGTCTACAGAGTGAATTCCAGGTCAGCCAGGCCTACAAAGAGAAATTCTGTCTTGAAAACTCTTCCCCAAAAAGAAGATAAAATAAGAATCAGACAGAGCCAGACGTACTGGCACACACCTCTAATCTTAGTACTCCAGAGACCGAGGCTGGTGGATTTCTGTGATTTCAAGGCTAGTCTGGTTTACCTAGTTACAGGACAGCTAGGGCTATAAAAGACCCTGTCTTAAAAACAAACGAAAAGATAATTAGTATAACATGTCCTTGGCTTTTATAGTGATGATCTTTTATATTGTGCATCTCCTTTGTGGTATAAGCCAGTTGAAGATAACTCATCTGTGTACTTCAAGTGGTAAATACTGACTTGGGGATTTGAAATGGTCTTGAATGCTGCCGGGTTTCCATCACTGTGTGTACACCTCAGTCTTGGCACTAAGAAGGAAAAGAGTGCCTACTTGCAACTGACTTGTATTCTGATCGTCAGTTACACACAGCTACAAGAGCAGACTTTCCTTTAAGCTGTACAAGACAAACATGCCTTGGCATGCTCACTCTGGCACCAGTGTATCTACTGAGAAGTCACTTCCTGAAACTAGCTGTCGGACCATAACAGGTCTGCATTGTGGACATGGTCTCAATTTAAAGTGAAACATGGTTAAGTTGTGACAGCTACAGAAATCCTTTCGTTTGTGCACATTTGTTGTCCCTACTGTTCGTCCCACAAGACCAGTATTTAATGAGCTTTTATATGACAGGTCTTCTTGGTTAACACTTAAAACTATAGAGCTGCCAGCACACACCTTTAATCCCAGGACTCAGGAGGCAGAGGCAGGCAGATTTCAAGGCCAGGTTGGCTCTAGAGCTACACAGAGAGACCCTGTCTTAAAAAACAAAAAAGAGTATAGAACTACTTGAAAAATCTAATACTGAAGTGGAAAAGTACAGTTTTTATTGTTATTTTTTATTTGCTTAAAACTAGTTGAGGTTTAATAGTCTGGTGACATGAATAAGCCCAGGTAGTTTCTGTATTTTTTCCTTAATTTTTACTCAAACGTTTCCCAGTAAGTTGGTCAATAATATGAATACAAGTACACATGTAGCCTTTAGTTTAGGCTCAAATAATTTTTTAACTTCTCATTTTATTCCCTTTTTTCCCTACACATCTTGGGTTTTGATAGTGAGCAGGTTTTGTGAGTTAGAGTTGCTTTTTTATACATGTTTTACTGATGTTAAATGGATGCTTTTGGAAGTGCCAAGCTGCTGAAAAATAGTACTATCAAGTAAATACAGCAAGGTTAGAGAGTGTACCATTTCACTTCCATTAATTCTTAAAACTTGAGAAAAATGTCAAATAAGACTAAACTGACAATGTGATCAGAAATATCATTGAATCATTTTGAAGCTTCCATTTAAGTAAAACACTATTAGACTTCATGGTAGATGGAAAAGGAAAAATATAAGTTAAAAACGTTTTTGTATATTTTTATAAAAGTGGAATATTTGTAGAAGATTGTTTGGCAATATAATATCTGTAAAAATATTCATATTCTGAACATTAGTTCTCAGAATCTAATCTGGAAACATCAGAAATGCAGATAAATATGGATAAGTACAGAAGTCTCTTACATTTTGTAATTGCCAAAAAATTTAAGCATTAAGTACATAATATTATTTTATTTTTAAAAGATTTATTTATTATGTATACAGTATTCTGCACACCAGAAGAGGGTGCTAGGTCTCATCACAGATGGTTGTGAGCCACCATATGTTTGCTGGGAATTGAACTCAGGACCTCTGGAAGAGCAGTCAGTGCTCTTCACAACTGAGCATCTCTCCAGCTCCATAATATATTATTTTCATGCAACTTTTATAATCTTGTATTTGAAGAATAGTTAATAAAAGTAATCCCAGTACATAGGCTAAAAAAAAGCATTAAAATACATAATGTACCTAAATTTGCTAAAACTTTATATCTGATTTTAAAGCTTAGCATCTAAATCACCCGTGTGACTATGATGTGTAAACATGAATTTCTCCACAGTCTCAAATGCTTTGGACTTGGTGTATGGAACTTAAATAATCCTGTATAACGTTAGAATCCCTAGGATGGGTCCATCTAACAAAGATTAAGCAACATCTTACCATAAAATAACTTTTTTACTCTGAATTTGCACTATTTTTAGTAGTGCCATTAAGAGATGATGGGGTGGGGGCTGGGTGGTCATAATACACCTTTAATCCCAGCATTTGGGAAGCAGACGCAGGTAAATCTCTGAGTTGGAGGCCAGCCTGGTCTGCAGATTGAGTTCCAGGGCTGTTACACAGAGAAACACTTTCAGTGAATGAGTGAATGGACAAGTTTGCCAAGGGGTGGTGGTGCCTGACATAAAGAACTTAAAAGCGGGAGATGTATGTACAGCTTTAGGTTCAGATATTTAAGTTCACAGTGTTTGACTGAGTGTACTTTTAGGGCTGGGGGCAGTGTAGGACATCACAGCTGTGGGACCATGACACAGGAGCCGCTAAATTTACGATGGAGAGGAACAGAGAGAGGTTAGGGACCATGTATATCCTTCACAGACACCCCTCCAGTGACCTGCTTCTTGTAGGTGTCCACCTCCTAAAGTTTACACCACCTATCAAAAATCAGAGACCAAGCTGGGTGGTGGCAGTTCATACCTTTAATCTTAGCACTCCAAAGGCAGAAGCAGGTGAATCTCTGTGAGTTTGAGGCCAGCTAGGTCTTCAAAGTGAGTTCCAGAAGAGCAAAATGTTACAGAGAAACCCTATCTCGAAAGCAAAAAAAAATGATCAGGAACTGTAGTTGTGTTTTGGTGAGAGGGTTTTTGTGTGCTGTAGGTCATGGTCATACACATGAGGCAAGCTCACCATTTCTAAGCTGTACATGAACTTTAGAGTTGTTAGCCTGTATCTGCAGTCAAGAGTCACTGCTTTGTAATACTGGAAAACTGCCTCCTTTTTTCCCTTACAAGGTTAAAATAATAACTAGGTCTTGTTATTATTACAAAACAGAGTTAATAGGAAACTGTCTATTGCATAGTATATGGTCAAAAAGAATGACTATATTCTAGAAATATATATTATTAGTTGTTGTCTTATGAAAACTTTTTTCAATGAAGATCAGAATCAGCTAATGAAATAACTTGGGGAACATTAAAAACTAAATATCACATTAGTGCTATACCAGTAATTGAAACACTGTTTGAGAGGACTTTCCATTAGTTACAGATTTAATCATTACGCTTATTGGGTGCTCGGAATTGAATCCTGTAATGTAGAAATTCAAGGCAATTGCTGTACCACTAAGCCATATCCACTACATCCTCAAAGCACATTAAGATAGTGTCATTGTCAGTTAATTTATATTTCCATACTTCATATCTTCAGGTATGGTAGAGAAGTGAACAGTTTGTGTAAGCTAACCTAGTAGACAAATTCCAGGAATGGTACTAATGCTAGATTGTTTTGGTTGAGTCTTGACTGAAAAACAGTAAATACATTTCATATTTTCTACTATAGCTACTGTTTTTCTGCTTAAACAGAATGCATGTTTTGAGGTACATTTTTGCATTTGTGCTGCTATTTAGTCACTTGGAGAAAACCTTTTTGTACCGTACAAGGAGGCAACAAGTTAGGCGGTGAGTAGGGTGCTGCCTGTGCTGCTGGCTATATGTCTGCATTCCATTGTGAACGTGACTTTCCTTAGGTTAAAATGTAACAAGCTTTATTAATTTAATATCTTTACTAACTTATTTTGGCAACTTAGATAAAAGGAAGATTTTATTTACATCAAGTAGGGCAAAAATGTTTTAGGATCACATGTTAGTAAGCATGCATATCACATGTGATCATAAACATCAAAAATGCATGCTGCTACTGTCCTTGAATAATTATTTTTGAAACAATTATAATTGAAGTAAAAGCGGTCCCCCTTAAGAGTTAACCTTATTACCTGAGATGCAAAAACAAGTTAGTGGCAATAAAACTTGTCACAAAAATTTCCAGTTGGCACTGGATGGAGTCTTTTATTAGTTATTAGTTAACAGATTTCATCAGCTTACTGTACAAAACTTTGTATTATCAGGACTGGGGATATAGCTCATTTGGTTGAGTATTTACTTAATATGAAGTTTAGGGTTTGATCCCCAGCATTGCCATAAACCAGGTGTGAGGGTTTCCATCTCTAATTCCAGCACTTGAGAGGTAGAAGTGAGAATATCTCAAGTTCCAATAACATAATCAGTTTCATAGCAAGTTTGAAGTCAGCTTGGGACACATAAGGCACGCCACACACACATCCCCCCCCCCCCCAATTAAGAGTTCTCAGTAACCATTTTGTTCTCTGTTTATTTGATATCCATGTGCTGTTTAGTAGTCTCTGCTAACTTAGGACTGGTGATTGCGCTGGGCTCACCCAGGTACTTCTAGGCAGCCTTTGTGTTGCCTCTCTTGCCTGAAAGTTCAGACTTGAGAATCTCCAAGGTTCTCAATCAGAGTATTTTGTTATTACTCACTTTCATATATATTGGGATTTATGAATGAGATTCAATCCTAACTATCAATCTGATTCTATTTTATTGTAGATGCATTCGTGTCAATAAGTTTCAGAGAGTTGATCCTGATGTCCTGAAAGCCTGTGAGAACAGCTGCATTTTGTACAGTGACCTAGGCTTGCCAAAAGAACTTACACTCTGGGTGGATCCATGTGAGGTGTGCTGTCGGTGAGTCTTCATGTTTAGCAGCTGAACCAATTTTACCAAACTTGCTCCTGTGTGTTCCACCTATAACTCTTTATAGCCAGGAGCTGGCAGTTTGGCTTTCTCAGAGGAGGTTTATGAAATTACGCTATGAAGGTAGGTGATGAATCTATTTTATACCGTGAAGAACTCAGAAATAGGTTTCCTAGAACTTTGCCAAGGATTTTAATGTACACCAAGAGATGGCACATAGAACTTAGGCACCTGCTCCTGTCACTGTTTCATTCGTCTGGCACAGCCCTTTCAATTTAGGGGAAGCTCAAGTGATGATATAGGACAGTGACCTTTAGTCGGTCTCTATCTCTGCCTCTTGTTTCTGTTTTCAAACAACTGAAAACAGTTGGTAACATTTTAAAGATTTTTATTCTCATAATAGAAATTCTGTCATCTCAAACAGCTGTAAAAGGGTGTTAGGTGTGGTCTTCAACATATTAATAAAAACATTACGTTAACTAGGCACCTATGGAGTTTTCAAAACTTAAACAACATTCTTAGGAAGTTCAAAGGGTAATAAGGGAAAAGAAATAGTAAGCGAATTACAACAGACTATTTGTGTCCACTAGAAATTCCTGCAAAATACAGTGTTAGGCAGCACAACTGCCTAGTGGGTGACACTTGCGCTGCTGTGTGAAGGGTGGATTGAGGGTGATGAGGTGACAAGGATGGGAAGCTGTTTTTCTCCAGGAAGGAGAAGCAAGATAAACCAGTAGCATGAGCACCCACAATTTTCCTGTAGTGGTGCTGTGGGAGTTCGTCTTTGTTTTGGAGGTGCAATTCTCTTGGCCTCTCTTTTTTATAGTGAAGTTGCTTTTTTGATATGAATCCAGATATATGCTATAGACATGGACACAGCTTTTAACCTCATCTGTAATGAAGATGAAAGTGAAGATAAGTAGTAATGCTAAAAAGAACCACATGCATGTTCTTCTAAATTTTATCAGGAAAATTCCAGATACCTACTTGATATAAGGGTATTTATTGCCTTGGGAAACTGTGGTGAGGTACAGGTTCATTAAAGTGGGGGTCTTCAGAATTGTCTTCTTCTGGGCTGGAGAGTGGCTAAGAGGTTAAGAACACTGACTGCTCTTCCAGAGGCACTGAGTTCAATTCCAAGCAATCACATGGTGGCTCATGACCATCTATGATGAGCTCTGCTGTCCTCTTCTGGCATGTACATACCCACAGAACATTGTATGCATAAGAAAGAAAGAAGGAAGGAAGGCCATTGCTTTGTTTTGTGAAAAAAGGAAGTCTAAACCATGTTAAGTTTTGATCAGGGACAGTCAAAACATTTTTAGATTGTGGGATGAAGAATGAAGTGTTGCTTGGATGTTATGCTGAAATCCTGTTAAAGACCCAAATTTACATAAAATGAACCATCAGTGTCACTGGGATAGACAGCCAGTCCCTCCTAATCTTTTGAAATACTTTTATTTTGTGTCAGTACTGCCAGCCACTTAAAAGTTTGTATTAGCAGTAACCTTATCAAATTTACTCCAAGCCGGGCAGTGGTGGTGCACACCTTTAATCCTAGCACTCTGGGATATTATTCCTTATCAGATGTTACAAGCTTTAGGGTCATTGATATGTAAAAATCTTTGTGTATAACTGCCATAAACCCAATTATTTGAATTCTCATAATTGCTTGTGTTACTTCCTTCAGTTTCTTTCCATAAAGACCTAAACATCCCTAATACTATATGTGTGTGTGTGTGTGTATGTATATATGTATATCATACGAGATAAGATAGATAGATTGCCCAAATATATGTTTATGTACTGTGTGTATGCCTGGTGCCTGAGAAAACCAGCATAGGGCAGTGGAACCTTGGAACTGGAGTTACTGAAAGTTGTGAGCCTCTGTATGGGTGCTGGGAATTGAATCCAGGTCTTCTGGAAGAGCAGCAAGTGTTCTTAACTGCTGAGCCATCTCTTCAGTCCATACATTTCTCTCTCTCTCTCTCTCTCTCTCTTCTAACTGCTGAGCCATCTCTTCAGCCCATCCATTTCTCTCTCTCTCTCTTCCTCATTCTGTCTGTCCGTCCGTCCCTCCCTCCGTGCTCCCCCCATTTCTAAGGCAGGGTCTTTCTTTCTATGGTGCCCTGGCTGCCCTGATACCCACTATGTAGACCAGGCTGGCCTCAAACTCAGAGATTTTCCAGCCTCTAAGATACAACTAGGCTTTCCATTAGAGTGGGCAGATCCTCACTGCTCCATGACTATGCTATGAACGAACAACCTCTTCTCTGTGGCCCGATGTAGTTCTGTGATCTGTGAGGTACATACAGAACATAATAAAAAGATAGATCCCTTGTGATGTTTCAGTTTTTGTTTGATGTCAGTAGAGAAGAAAATAGCCACTTTTATTAATACTTCAATAGACAAGCTAGAAAATTACAGCCTACTTGTGCTTTGGATATTAATGTGCACAGTCCAGTTCTGGAATGGTTCTTTTATTGCCGTGGAACAATGGCATGACCAGACCTGTTTAATTGTTTTTACAACCATTTCTTGCTTTTTACATGATTTGTAAGTTTTTTTGTGTATAACTAGGTATGGAGAGAAAAACAATGCATTCATCGTTGCCAGCTTTGAAAATGAGGATGAAAACAAGGATGAGATTTCCAAGAAAGTTAGCAGGGCTCTTGATAAGGTGACCTCTGATTATCACTCAGGATCATCTTCTTCAGATGAAGAAACAAGCAAGGAAGTGGAAGTGAAACCAAGTTCAGTGACTGCAACACCAAGCCCGGTGTACCAGGTAACCATGGAACACTTGATGTTACTGGACGGTAGACTGCAGGGCATTGGTGGGCTTGCCAGGTACTGCACCTAGCTATGCTTATGCTTCCCAGGGATTCTGTTGAATATCTGAGTCTCAGCTCTACTCTTTCACACACACTAATGGAAGCTGCTTTTCAGAGATGCAGATTGGCATTTGAAGAAAAAAATCAATAACTTTTATAATTTTACTATTCCCCTTTTACATTATTAAAGAGAAATTTTACTGAATTTTATTTTGGATGGTTTTTTATGTAAAAACGAAAAGAAAGTTGGCCTTGTTGGTCTTATCGTGGAAACATTGTATAGTAAATGTGTTTGCACCACAGATTCATTTACTTTATTTATATTTGTATATTAAAAAGCATTTTATTACTTACTAGAAATTTGACTAGCAATATTCTTTAACAAAAGGAGAAATATTTTTAGTCAGACATTTATAGAAATATTTTGAGGAGCTTTACTCTTTCTACATGTACTTTATGTTTTTATTTTATTTATTTTAATGTATTTCATATACAAACCTGTGAGTGCTGCACGTATAGCTGCATGTCAGAAGAGGGCATTTGGGGCCTATTAAAATGGTTGAGAGCCACCATGGGAATTGAAGTCAGGACCTCGTGAATAGCAGCCAGTGCACTTAATGGCTGAGCCATCTCTCCAGCCCATAATTTTAGTATATTTTAAAATTTACCTTCATATATTAGTCTAAAATAGATGTAATTTAATGTGCCAAATTTATGGTTAGATCAGTGTTGGAATGATACAAAAACTTGTACCTAATTAAAAATCTTTGAGTATAAAAAATTAAACTTTCAAGTTCATATTATATGATGATGAAATGTAATTAATTTTTCCTTCTCTTGGTTGTTTAGTTATCCTTTCTTGAATTGACAGAAAAGGTTAAAAAAAGATTATCACATATTGGAGGTATCTGTCTATATTTTAACACATGCTTCTTTTTTTATAAAACTTTTCTTTTGAGGGTAGGTTTCACTCTATTAAACCCAAGTGGGCTCGAACCAACTACAAAGACCACATTGGTCTTAGACTCAAAGAGATCCACCTGCCTCACTGCCTGCTGGGTGCTAGGATTAAAGGCTTGTGCAACCACATTCAGTAAAACTCATTTTAGAAAATAACTTAGTGCCTGGTGGTGGTGGCGTGGGCCGCACCCCGTCCTTTCCAGTACTCAGAAGGCAGAGGCAAGCAAGTCTGAGTTCGAGGTCAGCCTGGTCTAAAGAGTGAGTTCCAGGACAGCCACACTCAGCCAGTTCTCAGTTACACAGAGAAACCTTGTCTCGAAAATAATAATAATAATAATAATTAAAACTATAAGAGAAACTTGCAAATACAAACAGTAAACTCCTTAACAGTATAAAATAGTATGATAGTACCTTCTTCCCTCACTCCTCTCCAGCACCCTCTCCTGTGCTTTGTAAGGGTGTTCTCCACCACACTTGCTTTTTGTTTTGTTATCCTTCCTTTGCTTTTGTTTGATTGTGGTTGCCTTTCAGATCATTTTTCAAATCTATGCCATAAATATTGAGGTCATTTTTCTGTTAGTATGTTGCATTATATATTACAAATTACCTTTATTGAATTTCCTGGAAATCATCCAAATGTGGTGATTTTGTTTTTACTCATTCAAGCAAGACTGTAAGTCCCAAAAGAAACTGAATTCTTTGTAAGTTAACCTTCAGGTTTAAAACTAATTGACATTTATTTTTCCCTAATACAAAAGAAGGTTAGAATAATAGAAAGGTGTGGAAAGTAGGATATCTTACATGCTTATTTGGAAATATTTGTCTTTGGAATTCTACTCAACAAAACATTTTACAGAAAGGCAGGCAGGCAGGCAACTGTTTTAAGCCCTAGTGTAAAAGGCTTAGATACAATTCTGCTTTAACCTTCCTATTTTTCTTGACACTGATAGTAACGGGGTTTTCAGTAGTGTTTTAAGGTATATTCTAAAAACAAGTCCTTAACACATAAATGCAATGAAAATATACCTTCTATAATTTGATGATTCACTTTCTAGTTTCTTTTCTAAAGGGGGATTATCTAATAAAGACATTCATAGCTCCTGGCAGGAAAGGATTTTTGTTCTGTGGTGTTTCTGGATATTACTCCTAGAGGCAGCTCTCAGTCTTTCCTCAAATTGATCTATGGACTCAATCAAAATCCCAAAAGTCATTAGCACATTAATTCTAGATTTTTAAGAAAATAAAATATGAGGGCAAACATGAATACAAAACTATTCTGCGCATCAAGATTGTTAATTGTTTAAGGATATATAATATATCATTGGAACAAAACAGAAATTCCATAATTAGCTCACTTTTATACATTTACCCCACTCACCTCACTCAAACCAGAATGCCAGGGCAATTAGAGGGGAAAAGTCTTGAACAGCTCTAAAACAAGAAGGGAAAAGGCCAAAATGGGACTAAGTGTTGCCTAATAGCCATGCACCAAAAAAATGGATTTGATAGGATTATAGCTCTCTACATATAAGAAAGCTAAATTTTGATGTTTTATATATGAAGAAATATGGAGAATTCTTGAAAATGTTTTCCAAGTATCACAAAAATTATTAAAAAAAGTTAATTTTTATCAAAACTAAATATTTTTAGTAAGCAAAAGAAAACATTAGAAAATGAATGATCGGATCACAGAACGTATATTCTTGTTACACATATGTGTTAAGGACTTGTTTTCAGAATATACCTTAAACCGCTCCAAAAAAAATCAATAGGCCTGGTGGAAGAGTAGGAGGATCAAAGTTCACAGCCAGCTGGGGCAAGTGAGATCCTCTCTCAAAATAAAAGCTATAAGGAGAACTGGGGATATAGCTCAGTACCACAGCAGTCGCCTCATATGCACAAGGCCCGGGGTTTCATCCTCAGCATTGCAGTAATAATAGCAATAGTAACAGCAGTAAAAGACAAACGACCTAATGAGGAAATAGGCAGAAATCTGTTTATATCTCATTCTAAGTATGTCTAAGAAAAACCAAAGAGTGTGTGTGTGTGTGTGTGTATATCTTTGAAGGCAATTGTAAAAAACTTCAGGTGTGTATAGATGCTCTCAGAGGTACAAACATAGAATCTCTTCAAAATATCCACAAAGTTGGTTCATGTCATTTGTACCATGTGAAGTAAATGCTTTACAGAATTTTAACTGTTAAAGAAAACATCGCCCATCTAGAGGGACAGGTTAGAATCAGAGAATCTGAAATTCATAGGCTGCATGTTCTAAGCAAAACAGTTGAAAACCACTAATGAGAATTTAAACCATGTGAACCCTACCTAACTTATAGTATAATCTAAAATCTTTAGCCCAAGTACTACACAGACTACAGCAGAACAGTCTGGAAAGTTATGTTGAAATACTTGGCCTCTGTTTCTAAGATTCCATTATTTCTTAGTAGTCCTTGGGCTGGAGCATGAAAATTTGTGCTCCTAAGTTCCTTGAGTGACTCCTTGCTTAGCTAACCTCCAACCTCTTGTGTCCTTCTTAGAAGTTACCATTCATTCTGCATTTGCATCTTTGATGCTTGAAGAGTTTTAATTTATTTAGTTTTTTCTTCATTCAGAAAATATATGTGACCCCATTAATGGGGTGAGGGTTTTTCTTTCTTCACATATTTAAACATAACCAAAGGATGTCCCTGAGACCTACTTTTAGGGTGATTGGTAGTTTGTGTTTACTGAAACTTAGTCTTTAGCGAAAACATGTATTTTTTTTTCCTTTGAATTTACATAATGCTTTCTCTTTTCTACAGATTTCAGAACTGATCTTCCCACCTCTTCCAATGTGGCATCCATTGCCCAGAAAAAAGCCAGGAATGTACCGAGGGAATGGCCATCAGAGTCACTATCCTCCTCCTGTTCCATTTGGTTATCCAAATCCAGGAAGGAAGAATAAACCATATCGTCCAATTCCAGTGACATGGGTACCTCCTCCTGGAATGCATTGTGACCGAAATCACTGGATTAATCCTCACATGTTAGCACCTCACTAGCTCCTTTTGATTTTGTTTGTCATGTTGATAGGAAGGAAGAAAATACATTACTATATACTAAAAGTTCATACTTGTAGTGAAGTTAGATGGGCGAAACCATCAAACTTATTTTTATAGAAAAGTTATTGAGAATAATCTTTCTTAAAAAAGTATATATATATATATATATGCACTTTAGATATATTGAAATAGTTTGAAAAACTTTATTAAAGTTAGTCAAGTGCCTGAGTTTTTAATATTGGACTTAAGTATTTATATATTGTGCATTGACTCTGTTGGATACAAAAACACTGTAGGAGTGGGCGATGTGTTCTAGCACCTTTGAGCATTGACTTTATGGAGAGTATGTAAGTTATTTATACACAAGGAAATCTATTTTATGTTATTATTTAGAAGAATTGCGTGAAATCATGTAGTTGCAAATAAAAAGTAGTCTGAGGCATGACAACTTGTGGTTTTGTTCTTTCTGTACATAAGAAAATAATCTAAAATGTTCCTTTAAAAAAACAACTTTTTATTGAACATGTTCCCCAAAACCCACATATTAAAGTATACATGTAAAAAAATTATATTTACTGGCAGTAACTAGTTGAAAATATAAAATACAACAAAATAACTTTGAACTATCATAATCAATATATATGGGAATTTTGTCACCAGGATTTTGGCCTGTAGTTTCTAGGACATTTGACTTACATGCCTTATACCATTAGGGAAAGCAGAAATATTCTTGTGGCCATTCTTAATCCACCTTGTAAACTAGGTACTGTGGCAAGCACCTGTAATCCCATTTCTTGAGAGGCTGAGGCAAAAATAGCAGGATGTCTGGGCTTATTTAGCTAAACATCAGATGTGATGCCAGCCTGGGCACGATGAGACCCTGTCTCGAAAACTAAAAATAGGCGGGGGGGGGGGGGGGAGAATGTGCTGTCCTTTTTCAAAAAAGCATTAGTCTTTACTAGAGTTCTAATGTAAAAAATTATGGTACTTCAGATTCTTCAGTAGTCCTTCATATTTATACCACTGTAATCCCATCGGTCGTGTAAGTGTACGTGAGCTACAAAGAAAAAAAGAAAGGAAAACCATCTATGAGTCTGGGTATTCTAAAGGAAAACTTAGAACTAAGATCAGCAATACTTCCCCATTGCTCTAACCTTCAAATCTTTACTCTGAAATTATTCAACTTAACCAAGAGTGACCACAACTTCCTAGTAACTGATTAAAAGGCTTTGACTTTTTCAAGCATTCCTGTTGTCAGGTTTCTTTGTTTAATTTATTTTGTATTGGTTTTGTGTGATAAGGTCTCTCTGTAGCTCCAGCTGTCTTTTGAACTCACTGCTGTGTAGAATAGGTTTACAGAACCACCTGCTTCTGCTTCCTGCGTGTTGGGATTAAAGGTGTTTGCCACTAAGCCTAGCTCTTTTTTTTTCAGTTTTTTGAATTTATTATTTAAGTACAGAAATTAGGAAGAATGAAGTTAAAGCTCAGTGATGTGAAATATGAAGTCAAGATTTATTATATATACAGTGTTCTTGTCTGTATGTCTGCATGCAGGCCAAAAGAGGGCACCTTATCTCATGGTTGTGAGCCATCATATGGTTGCCAGGAATAGAATTTAGGATTTTAGGAAGAGCAGACAGTGAGTGCTCTTAACCACTGAGCCATCTCTCCAGCCCATGAACTCATTTTTATTTTTATTTTGCAGTTTACTTTGTTTGCAACTTCATCCGGAACCATATTTTAATCAGCAGAGATTTCTAGTTTGAGTCTCGTTGTGTTCTGACTTTTTAAGCCTTAACAATTTTAGCATATTTCTAAAGCACAGTATTAACTCACTATTAAGGTCATTGCTGGATTTTATGACAGTAGTGGTATATGGGCAGATACAAGGTTGGAAAGTTTGGAATACTTTTGTACAGGAAGACAGCATTTGTTTGCTCATATTACAGGCATATAAGCTTCTTGGGAAATTTGATAGCCACTCAGGAAGAGAAGCATCAATTTTAGCACTCACCAAATTGAACTCTGCACATTACTGCAAAATATGTTTACAGTCAGCAAGATGGCTCAGTGGGTAAGGGCACTTGCCACCAACCCAGGTGACCCAGATGACGTTAGGAGAGCCAACTCCAGCAAACTCTCATCTGACTTCACATGAATACTGTGGCACTTGTACATGCATGTGCATACACAGAAATCATAAACGTGGTAGAAGTGAATCTCTAGCCCTGCCAACCTAATGATGCTTGGGGAAAACTAATGTTTACATTGAATTTTTTTTTTAATTTTATGCAAGTGGGTCTTTTGTCTGCAAGAACGTCTGTGCCTGTACGTGCCATGCCTGGGGAAGCCAGAAGAGGGCATCAGGTCCTCTGGCCCCATGGTTCTTAACCATCCTGTGTGTGCTCCGGAAACCAAATGTGGGCTCTCTGCAAGAGCAAGTGCTGTTAACCACTAAGCCAGCTCTCCAGCCTTGGGGAAAGCTAAGTTTTAATTTATAAGCATTTTAGATAATTTTCTATATAAGACTTTGACCTTTATTCTTACTCTAGCTTGTTTTAGAGTTTAAGTTCATATAATAGTAAAGCTTTCAACAGTGAAGCTTTTCCAGTCTCTAACTATTGAAAACAAATTACCACTCAGCAGTTGACCTTAAATTCTCATAGGCATGGGGTACTCCATAATGGAAATTAAGACAAAGTTAATGTTTCCCTTACAGGATTGGTCTAAATGAAGACTGACAGCAACAGCTTAAAAACCTGATGAGAGAGTTCAAAGCAGGAGTGGCTTGTGAATGAAAAATGATAATTTGTTTAATTTCCCATTTTGTATTTGTAGGTATAACAGCAAAGCTCTAAATTTTTAGAGGTTAAAGTTGGACATGGATTTTTGAAAAAATATGTTCTTTGGTAAGTTCTACAATATCATTAATGAAGTGCTTACTTATGCTGTATATTTAACTATATCTAAACATTTGACTACAATCCATTTTTTTTTGTATTTTTATTTGTTTTTTAGGACAGGTTTTTCTCTAACCTTGACTGTCCTAGAGCTCAATTTTAGACCAGGTTGGCCTTGAACTAAGAGATCCTTCTGCCTCTGCCTCCCAAGTGCTGGGATTCAAGGTGCATGCCACCACTGCCTGGCTTTGTGCATTATGATTTTAATCTAAAGTAAAGCATTTCTGTTAACTTCTAATCCATCAGCTTTGTGATAATTTGTTTACTCCTCATAATCATCTCATGATTTGTGCCATTTTTATTTCAGTTAAATAAGGGCTCTGAAAAGAAGTAAAAGATGTCCAGATGACAGCGAGCTAAGTAACTTATAGGACTTAAATGCCTGTGCCCCGTGGTGCCTCAGCACTACTACAGTAGTTTGTTTCCTGTGTAAGGTCTATCGGGGAACGGGGGCAGGTATTAGACCAATCCAGAGAAACCTAGGCAGAGATTGATTAATTCAAGACATTAGAATTTCCATATTAACCACTAGTTCTTTGTTACAAACTGTCCAGTTAGAGCTGAGAAAGGGCACTAAAAATTTGACAGCAATTTTGTTTCAACTGTAAATCAAACTTCAGCAGCAGTGTGGCCTAGAGGACAGGAAAGCTACTGGCCAAGGAGAAAGATCACACCTAAGAGAACAGGAGCAATGCCAAGATGAGCACTCCTGCTTTTCTCTCAATTATCAATTTTTGGGTAACTTAGTCTGGAATACAGTGTTAACATTACTTTTACCAACATTTTCCCGTATGTTTTCTGGAATTAGACTCTGGTTAGTGAAGTGTTAATATGGATGTTCTCATGTAAGATGTGTATACTCTAAACATTGCAGAAATTGCTACCTATTTATAGCAGAATGCCATCTTCAACGTACACCAAAACCAGAAACATTTAATAGTCATCATAAACATGGGGGCTTATAGCAAATAATGTCACTCTTATTAGTGTCGTTTGATGTTTATTGCATAAAACAATTTATACGAAAATCTTGTTTCTACCCTCTAAATGGAATAGCAACAGAAAGAACTTTCCTAAGTTCTTTACAAATAAGTTACAAATAATCATTGAGAACTTATAAATTTCATAGGACTTAAACACTATTCTGACTAGCACACATCAGTCGAGATCATAAAATGTAAATCAGTGAGATGTACTGTTGAAAAGCATCTCTGCTGTTAGCTGTCTCATGTATCACTTCTGCAGTACTGAGACCAGTATGTATCAGCTTCTCTAGTAATTAGGGTTGAAAGATTTAGACACTCAGGATTAGTAATCTCCATTATTGTGTAAACATAAATGTATCTGTTTATTGGACTGTCCCATAGTACCCTAAATGCACACATCTTTGTGATATATCAGTTAAAAATAAATATAATTTTTAAAGATAATGATCCTTGTTTTTGAGGACATGAGGATAAGTAGAGGTTTAGAGGAATCTAACGTTTTGTAAGGCAAGTACATTTTTGAACCCCATGGTTTCACCTAGCAGCTTTACTCTGAGAAATTTACAGTAGTATTTAAATGGGGGGGGCTATATCTACTATGTACAATGCCTACTGTAGTATATTTTTTGGTAACAAAAAAAAGCAGTCATAGTAAATGAGCAACTAAAACATTTTTTCAAGGTAAAATGGAAACTGCTGTGTGACTGTGGGAACATGAAAATGTCCCACCTGCAGTAGAATGTGCATTGTCTGAATAAAACAGTTTGGACGGTGTATTCAGAGAAAGGAGAAAAGGGCTAAATGCAGACGAATTTATTTTTCTACTCTGTGTCTTATTTCTTTGGATTTTTCTGGTGAGCATTATTTCTCCAATTTTTTTTTAAACTGGCTTGCTTATTTATCTATTTATTTATTTTTGATTTTTTGGGGGGCAGGGTTTCTCTGGAGCTTTGGAACCTGTCCTAGTCCTGGCACTAGTTCCTGTAGACCAGGCTGGCCTCAAACTCAGAGATCCGCCTGCCTCTGCCTCCCTAGTGCTGGGATTAAAAGCATGCACAACCACCGCCAGGCTAATTTTATTTTTAAGAGATAATATAATATGACATTATGAGAGACAAGATAGACTGACAGAAGGAAAAAGTCCAAAAGAAGCACGAGCACCAGAGGCCACTCTCTCACACACTCAGAAATCCCGCAGAACACTAAACTGGAAGCTGTGATTCCATAACTCTTTAACTGGAGGGGGAAAAGACAATCTTTTAAAATGCTTTAAGTTCACTGGATTTATTATTAATGAATGCAAGAAAGCCTATGGACATACTTGTATACAGAGTTGATACACAGAATGCTCTGTTGAAATATGCAGTAGTGAAGGACCGTAATCCAACCGTGCTGTGCAGCAGCATAAAGCCAGTGAAAGAATGGTCAGTGTACTGAAGAGAAGACGCGTCCACAGTACTAGGAGAGGCCTGGTGAAAATACTTTCAAAAGGTGATGAGCATAAAATGTGCCTTAGAGGGCTCTGTGTGCTTGCTTCTTGGTATAGGGTCTGAGTGTCCCACACAGTCCAGTCCTCAAACTTGCCATATAGCTGAGAATGACTGTGAACTCCCAATTCCTTGCCTCTACCCCAGAGTGCTGGGATGACAGGCATGAGCCAGCAGGCCTGGCTTAGAACTTGTTTATTATGAAATGAGATGACTAATGTAAGACACTGGCGCCTGCCTGGCGAGTATTAATACTCGGTATGTTTATGAGGTACCTGAAAGTGGGAAAGTGAGTATAGAAAATAGGACTAATAGTCCCTCCTTATTGGCTCTCCAGGGTGGTACATGCATGAAGTCTCAGCACTTGGG